AAGTACATTTTTCTCCAAAAAGGAGGTTTAAGTTATGCCACGGCACTCTAGTATGGGCAGCAGAGTGAGACTCTGTCTCAAAAAAAAAAAAAAAAAAAAAAAAAGGTGGATTAGAGACTTAAATGTAAGACCTGAAATTATAAAAATCCTAGAAGAAGACCTAGGAAAAATTCTTCTGGACATTGGTCTAGGCAAAGAATTCTTGACTAAAACCTCAAAGGCACAGGCATCAAAAACAAACAAAAAATAGATAAATAGGACTTCATTAAACTAAAAAGCTTCTACACAGCAAAGGAAATAATCAACAGAGTGAGCATACAACCCACAGAATGAGACAAAATATTTGCAATTTATGCAGCTGACAAGGGAGTAATATCCAGGATTTACAAGGGACTCAGACAACATAAGAAGAAAAAAAATTCCATTAATAAAAGGGCAAAGGACATGAATAAACATTTTTCTAAAGACATAAAAATGGCCAACAAACATATTAAAGAATTCTGGGAAACACTAGTCACCAAAGAAATGCACATTAAAACCACAACGGGATACTGTCTTACTCCAGTCAGAATGGCTATTAATAAAAAGAAAAAACAAAACGAAAGAAAAAAACAGAAGTTGACAAGGATGTGGAAAAAAAGGAATGCTTATACACAGTTGGTGGGAAATACCACGTCTATGGAAATCAGTATAACCTCTATGGAAAACAGTGTGGAGATTTCTCAAAGAACTAAAAACAGAACTATTATTTGATCCAGCAGTCCCACTACTGGATACCTACCCATTGGAAAGAAATCATTATATCAAAAAGATACCTATGCTCATATGTTTATTGCAACACTATTCACATAGCTAAGTTATGGAATGAACTTAATTATCCGTCAACAGATTTTGGGATAAAGAAAACATGTTATATATACAATGGAATACTATTCAGCCAAAAAAAGAATGAAATCATGTCTTTTGGAGCAACATGGACAGAATTTGAGGCCATTATCTTAAGTGAAACAACTCAGACACAGAAAGACAAATATTGCATGTTCTTACTTATAAGCAGGAGCTAAATAATGGGTACATGTGGACATAGAATGTGGAATTATAGACAGTGGAGACTCAGAAGGGTGAGGAGATGGAAGGAAGTAGAAAATGAGAAATTACTTAAGGGGTACAATGTATGTTATTTGGGTGATGGATCTCCTGAAGTTCCTGACTTTAGCACTGTGCAATCTATGCATGTAACAACATTACACTTGTATCTCATACATTTATACAAATTAAAAACAAACAAACAAACAAACAAAAAACAAAGAACTTCAGTGTTTATTCAATGGGAGGTTTAAGTAATTGAGGGCATGACTCCTGGAGATACCTAGAAAATTTACAATATTTCTTGAGCAATTAGTTTCTGTAGTCATAAATTTAAAACCCTAAGATTGATACAATGGTCAGAAAAGATGGTCCTAGCATTTATGTAGAATACATGCTAATAAAGCTTGAATCTGGAAGCAGGCAGCCAGGGTCAGAAGTTAGGATGAGAACTTCTTCACCTAGACATTATTATCCTCATTTGTGAGTCTCACAGGAAGCTTAAGTGCCAGGAAGCTCTAAATCAGAGATAAGTAATTTGAGGGATAGAATTCCATACTATTCCAAGCATTTTGGGGGGAACTTGTTGTAGAAATGCAGGAAATTTGAGGCTCCTTTCTTTGAGAAGGAAAGATTGTATTTTATGTAAGTATGGATATTTTTGAAAAGTAAGAGATTGGAAACCAGAGTTGTAGACTGTGGCAAACAGAGGCTGATTTTCAATGTCATGCATTCTTTCTACATTCTTTTCACGATAGCACCTTGGTTTTACTTGAGGAGCCACTTTTCTACTAAACAGCTATATGCCTTAGCATAGCTGATTCTGCTGACTCCAGTGGTAAGGGTTGTGGCTCAGAGGTCGGGTAACCAATATAATCCTATCCACTGAGCCCAGTTGAGTTCAGAGATCTCCTCCTATTATCTCAATAATATATAGCAAAGTCCTAAGCCCAGGATATTTGGTATGTGATATGAAGCACAGTTCTTGTTATTCTTTTGCCCTTTTAAAAACTTACCAGGAAGTTGAATCAGACAGAAGTTTTAAGAAAATCGATATTGGCAATATTGCTCATGCACCAAAAGTCACATAGGGCATTTTATGATTTTCAAAATAAATAAATAAAACAAAGGTCCCTTTTAAATTGCTTCTTGCAGAGCAATTACTTTGAAGCCTTAGGTTAATTAGCTATCACCCATTTCTATTAGTTTTCTGCCTGAACAGCTTCCAATTTGAACTTCATAGCTAAATGCAAGCATGAAAAAATCAGCTAAAATCTGATCTATGGGCTATTTTATATATTCACAAGCCCCATAACCCTGATGGCTTTAGAAAAAGGACATATGTCCTAAAATAACATACTCAGCTTTGTCCACTAATTCTTCAAGGGCCTGCTGATTCATGTATTTTAAGTTCTTTCCTTTTTTTTTCCTTTAGACAAATTAGGAATTACACCTATTTTAAACTTCCTTATCTGTGTTCTTCATTTTATTTTCATTTTTATTTATCTCTAAGTTAAATTAAATGTGACATTTTTCATAATAATAAAGTACATTTTTCTCCAAAAAGGAGGTTTAAGTTTTTTACTAAAAAATATAAAATTGAAAGTAAACATTTTAAAAGTAAAACATCTCTGCTCATTTACTTATGCTTCATAGAACTGGTCATTGTTATCAGCTCAGTGTTTATCTTTCTGTTTATCTTTATTTAGACACATGCAATATGTGCATATTTCTATGCATTCTATATATTTCTTCAAATGGAGTTATGCTATGCATATTTTATGAATATTTAGATTTATTTAAAAAATAACTGATATTTTTCTGAGTCGAGTTATATACCTCTACTATATTTTTTTGAAAGACTATATAGCTACATAGAATATAGTATGCCTGTAATATAATTTATTTTACCCTTTCTCTTATTTATAGCTTTATTTTTTATAGTTACAAAGGTGTCAAAAAACTTGGGATGTATATCCTTGTGCGCTTGTGTGATATATCCTTAAAATGGATTCATCCCAGAAATGGGATTGCTGAATTTTAAATTTAGATAGATACAGCCAAACTGCCCTCCATAAATGTGAAAATCTATGCTGCTGTCACCACAGTTTGAAGTGTTTTCAGTCCCTGGACCCAATTTTAGCCATGCTAGGAAAATGTAGTATTGAAAGGCAAGTTTTGTTTTTGTTTGTTTGTTTTTGTTTTATTAAAATAAATTTTGTGGTGTGTATTTGAGGTTTATCTATTATATACTTTTTTGTGTAGCAAGAGCAGCTAAAATCTATTTATTTAACAAAAATCCC